GAGAGTGTGTGTGGGTGTGTGTAACTGTTGTCCAGAGGGCAGTGTGTGCAGTCTTGTGGGTTGATTCAGTGGGCTTGAGTGCTCTCTTATTTTTATACTGAATTTGCAGAGAGGGCATGAATAGTGTTGGTAAAGCGCAGCAAAAAGTATTGTTAACTGTTAATACATTTTGTATTGCACTATTAGACCAAATTTAGTAGCTATTTGGGATATAGCTGGTATATTCATGCCTGAAAGCTGGGGATAATAAGCATCTTCTGACCAGGTGAAAAACTGTAAGCTCCAATATGGTAACATACACCCTACAGTATATTACTTTCTTTTCTCTTCCCCTTCCCTGATTCCTAGATCTGGAGATACTGTCGGCAATGAAGCCAACAAGAGAGAATAGATCAGATAGGTATGTGCCTTATCAAATACTATTTATTTCATTCTGCTTATTCACTTTTCTACTTAAAATGGGTCCATCAGGTGTAAAATGCTCTGAATAGTTTAGTTAAAACTGTAAACAGTGATTTAAAATATTCCATTCAGCATTATTTTATAGCCCAGGAAATTTAACCATGTGAGTAGGTCGGTGCAGAGCTATGGGTTTTATGCTGCTAAGAACTTAACCATTAAGTGTGCTGGTGTCCTAAATATCTGTGTTGCCCATGTGTCCAAATATACTAGGTGTGATCATCATGCTGTCATGTGAGTGTTACTTGTCTTTGTGTAGGGCTTGAGTGTGCTGATCTGTTTTTTTCAGTAAGTCCAGTTTGTGGAAGTTGCCACATCCACTTATTACTGTGGGACCTCATCAGGAGGATGAAGCCTATGAGGTATGTGAAATATCAATTCTGGCAACGTTTATTGAATAAAATATATTTCAAATCTTTTTTGTTCCTTACCAGGTTTTGAGAGTTGAAAGAAAGGAAAGGGGATTTATTGCAATGGGCAGAGATACTGCAAGTTGTATGTACTTTTGGGTCTGGCCTCGGCTCTTCAGAGAGCATGGCAAAATATCCGTTACATTCTTCTGGGTGTGTTCCTTTGTTGCCGCCTCTTCTGTACCACCCACATGATGCTTCTTATGTTCCGGGTGTGAATTAAGTGGCTGAGAGTTTCAGCATTTTTGTCTTGCCATGTTCTCCTTAAGTCTCCTTATCTAAAGATAGTGCACACCAGGTAGACGGGCTGCATCCATTCACTTCCTGTCCAATTTTCTTGCATACATCCTTCCCCTCAGGCTGCTTGCCAGAAGCAAGGGTGGGCAGGAATTGGTGCTATTGCCACCACCATTTCAAATTAACTGGCAAGGGTGGCATTGTGTCAATGATGGGAGTGGCGTCATAATTTTTCAACCAGCTTTTTGCTAAGTAGGTTTAGGAAGATTTAAGGGAAGGGAGTGAGGAGTGGATGAACCCTCAGCCTGGCAACCACACATGATTCCACTTAAATTCATAGACATGCAACAGCAATTCAAAGTGCGTATATATACACTCTCATGCTTTCCTTCCGCATTCTGCTATTCTAACTAGATGACAAGGTTTCTTCTTTGTTGTTGAGGACATCATACAAAATGGTTTTTTTAGTGCGCACATGCTGCTTATTCCAGAGCATGCTCTTCAGTTACAGGTTTCATGTGAATTACTTACATGATATCACTTTGCCTTTTTATCGTATGAAGTACGTTTTTTTGCCATTTTAGGATTGGGGCAGGCATAACTCTCCTTATCCATGGTAAAGAAACTGCAGCAAGTCACAGGATTGTGCATTTGTGCTCCCTTCTTGTGTCTGAATTTCTCTTTCCATCTTAGTAAGGGTTAAACATTTTATTCGCACAGGTGTTAACTGCTGCTAATACTAATGAGGTTCTCTCTGAACCAGTGTTTGCTAACCTGTTTTAAACTCTGGGGCATGATTAAATCCACTCCTGCTGTAAGGCCATGAGTGGAGTATCCTGTAGACTCAGTTGAGCCCTGTTGTCCCCTTGTCTAAGTGCATGCAGGTAAAATGAATGGTCACTAGGATGAATAATGGGTTGGTGTGCACCTCCCATACCTCCAGCAAGCCCTCCCTCTTTAGGATGCAAGTTACTTATGTATTGAAGGAACCACATGATCCAGAAAGTCAAGACTTTAAGTCATTACAGTATGCCATGGTTCCTTAAAATAAATTAAAATACATGCACACAGTTTAGAATTGAGGATGCATGGCTTGAGTGGAGAGCTAGTAGCAGTAAGTCTCAGGTTTTTTTGTACTGAATCTTACTTTACTCAAGAACATACATTCAGGTGAGTAGCTGTGTTTGTCTGACTCAGCAGAACAAAGTTTGAGTCCAGTGGTGCCTTTAAGACCAACAAAGTTTTATTCAAAGTATAAGCTTTCGTGTGCATGCATACGTCAGATACTTCTTCAAGAAATGACAGTTAAACACAGTTTAGCAACATTTACCAAGTGCCAGGATCAATCTATGGTATATATTTTCAGGATGCATGTAAAGTTAGATATCTGTTAACTGAGGATTGTTTCTGAAACATTGTGACATCTGATGATATATATATTTTTTGTGAGTGTGTGGAAATTGTACCACTCGCTGGGTTGTATCCAATCAGCTTTTCAGTTGGCTAAAAAGGGAAGAGAAACTCCCCTTTGATCAACCAAAAAGACTATGCTGAGGATCAGAGGATCTGCATGGACAAAAGCAAATGGGTTGGGGGCTGCAGTGAAATAGGAGAACTGGGACATTGAGCAAAAAAGCTCAATGAGTCCTGGTGTCTGTAACGCTTGTACAGATTTTATACAATGAAAATATGGCTTATCTTTGCTCCTATTTTCCTGTCTTCAGCAGATATAATATTTTGTTGTTGCATGGCAAATTTAAAGTTACTTTTGAAATATATCTTTCACAAGTACTGCTCATGTGAAGCACCATAAATTAATTTTATATTTTAAACCAACTGAATCATAAAATGTTTTAAGGGTGTTGTGTGGGCAAAAATATGGTAAATCAGAATTTGGGGGGGGGGGTCTAGAGACCTGTTGAGTGCAGATCCACCACTGTTGCTCTGAACTGGATTACAAGCAATGGCCTGAGTTCAAAGAACAGCACAATACTGTGTGACCAACAGGACTTTGGCTTGTGTTTCTCAAACCAGCCGCTGTCCATGTTGCATGGCAAGTTGTTTTTGAAATGGAGAGCTTTTGGCAAGAATTTATGAGATGTCACACTGTTTAAATCCAGTTTTCATATATAATACCCACTGGGTATATCTAAGCTTTTGAGTACCTGAAGTAGCTTTTTGGATTTTGGTCATTACGAATTGTGCAGTTATGTCTATAAAATATAATATATAAAAAAGTAATTTCAAAGCACTATTACATTTTTCTAAAGTTACGTAGTCTTGCGCTTAAGTTGATTTACAAGAATAGCTATATTTAAAGGCTAAACATGGAAGAAAATATAATCATTTGGTTCAGAAAGGAAAGCTCACTTGAATATGCTTACATATTTTCTTTTTTCTTTCTAGATGATGTGAACAGACTGTAATAGAATACATGATTTTATTGGGAAAGAACCCAAGGCTGCTCCCCACAATATGAAGCATTTAATACCAGCACAAATCAAAACTAATTTATGACTTGGAATCTCAAAATCCTGGAGAGAAAAAATGAGATGCTGTGCATTAAACCAAATTATTTTTCATAAGTTTGCATAAAAACATTTCTTCTCAAACAGAAAATTAGAAAACACAAACTTATGTTCCCACCATCTTTTTTTTTGCATTAGTTGTTAGAATTTAACTTCAGTTCTTCACTTAAGGTATGAAGACACAGCAGAAATAACGGAAGTCAACCATGGATACAAGTAGGGCAAATTCCCCCCAAACTGATGGTAACTCTGTGATAGATAAAATCAACAATTTAAAAGTGGAACCAGAAGATAATAGTAATTGTGCTTTAGAAACAGTGGATATCAAAACCGAGCCAGAAGACTTAAGACAGACAGATAGCAGTGATGAGCAAGATGACAGAGAGAAGAATTTTGTCCATAACAATCCAGGCAAATATGTCTCTGCAGAAAATGAAGATGATTATGGATCTCTCTTTTCCCAGTACAGCAGCACTCTTTATGATGTAGCAATGGAAGCTGTAACGCAGAGCCTGCTTTCAAGTAGAAGCATAAGCTCCCGGAAAAAGTCCCCTGCTTGGAATCATTTTTTTATATCTCCTAGACAAATTGACGGTAACTCTTTGACATGTACTGTATGAAAGGGTTTAAGCAGGGGTAAAATGAAAAAGACTTAAGTACAAGTTGTCTCATGAGGCATGTGAGGAGAGCCCATCCTACTGTACTCATTCAAGAAAATGGAGGTATGCCAACTATATCTTCCTTTCCTTCTCCTTCATTGTTACTGCCACCTCAGTCTGCAGATGTTGGAGATATAACTAGCATGTTAGCGCCTATAAAATTGGTTAAGAAAACAGTTTCCAAAACCCCATCACCAGATCAAATAACTGAGGAGTCTTTTCCTGTAATTTCTACTGAAGACATGCCCTCAGATCTGTCACTTACTGAAAAGAGCAATAAAGAAGAAATTTTTGTTGTGTCATCTCAACAGTTTCCTAACAGCCAGTGTGAAGAAACAGTGGAGAACGTAGCAGAGAAAACTGTTTACGTTCCTAAGAGTTCATCTGGCTCTAGGAGAAGATCTGCAGTCTGGAAACATTTTTATTTGTCTCCTTTAGATAACTCAAAGGCCGTTTGCATCCACTGCATGAATGAATTCAGTAGAGGAAAGAATGGTAAAGACCTTGGAACTAGTTGCTTAATACGGCACATGTGGAGAGCCCATCGTTCTATCGTTCTACAAGAGAATGGAGGTGGTTCGAGCATTCCCTCGCTGTACACGGCTCCTCCAACTCTGCTGCCACCTTTATTGCCTTCAGATGGTGATCTGAGTTGTGTGTCATCCCCTGGAAAACTGGCTAAAGAACCAGCATCTGTTTGTTCTTCTCCAGATAGAATGATTGAAGAAAACAATTCACATCTACCTTTGGGAGATGCTCTCATAGAAGACTCGTCATTATTGTCATGTGATGATATAGGTGAGGCTTCCTTAGTTTCTTCCCCTGAAAAAAGCCCTTTAATATTTGAACATGGTGCTGTTTTTCATCAGAATAAACGAATGATGCGGAAACTTAAGTCGGAAGTGTGGCATCATTTTTCTTTGTCTCCAGGGAATAGTCTAAAAGTGATGTGTAGACACTGCAATTGTATGATAAATCGTGGAAGGAAAGGTGATGTGGGCACAAACTGTTTGACGAGACACTTATATAGACGCCATCCTGAACTCATTGGTATCCAGAAGAATTTTATGGATGTGAGTTTAGCAAATTCGCCTTATGTGATTCTGGCTTCTGCAGAATGTTTGTCTTCAAAACTGACTTAATTACCCACAATGGTTACTAATGATAGTCAAGTCATTTTTCCTGTTAGTAGCAAAAAGACCTCAAAACTGTGGAATCATTTTTCAATTTGTTCTGCAGATTCAACTAAAGTAATATGTATGCACTGTGGACGTACAATAAGTCGGGGGAAAAAGCCAACCAATCTAGGTACCAGTTGCCTTCTAAGACATTTACAACGGTTTCATAACAATGTCCTGAAACCAGATGCCTCAGAGCCAGTATTGTCCTCATCTACAAATAGCCGTGTGCCACTGAGCACGGATTTGTTGGGGTCTTCATCTTTTGATGAAGCCAATGATAAATTTTCTGACACTCACCCTGTTGCCAAAAAAATCACAAGTCTTGTAGCTGAAATGATTGCACTTGACCTTCAGCCATATTCTTTTGTAGACAATATTGGCTTTAATCGACTGCTTGAATATTTGCAGCCTCAGTATTCTTTGCCTTCACCATCTTATTTTTCTAGGACTGCAATTCCTGATATGTATGAAAGTGTGAAACAAATAATTGTTTCACATCTTAAAGAAGCTGAAAGTGGAGTAGTCCATTTTACGTCTGGAATATGGATGAGTAACCAAACCCGAGAATATGTAACCCTTACTGCTCATTGGGTAACATATGAGTCAAGGGTTCGACCACAGTGTGAAGATTACCATTGTTCAGCTCTGTTAAATGTGTCACAGATCGATTGTGACTACAGTGGTATCAGCATTCAGAAGCAACTAGAATATTGGTGGGAAGCTTGGATAACATCAATCGGGCTTCAGATTGGGATTACTGTAACAGATAATCAGACTATAGGAAAAACTTTAAATGAAGGGGATCATTCAAGTGTGCAGTGCTTTGGTCACACAGTTAACCTCATAGTTAATGAAGCTATTAAAAGCCAGAGAATGGTTCAAAACTTGCTTAGTATTGCAAGAAAGATTTGTGAACGTGTTCATCGGTCAGCAAAAGCAAGAGAGAAACTGGCAGAGCTGCAGAAAGAGTATCACTTGCCCCAGCATCAGTTAATTCAAGATGTTCCATCAAAGTGGAATACATCGTTCCATATGCTTGAAAGCCTCATTGAACAGAAAAGAGCAATTGACGAAATGTCCATAGAGTGCAGCTTCAGGGAATTAATAAGCTGTGATCAGTGGGAAGTGATGCAGTCTGTCTGTCATGCTCTCAAGCCGTTTGAAGTTGCAAGTAGAGAGATGAGCACACACATGTCCACTTTAAGCCAAGTAATCCCAATGATTCACATACTCAACAGGAAAATTGAACTACTGTTTGAGGAAACAATGGGTATAGATACCATGCTGAAGTCTTTAAAAGAAGCTATGGTGAGTAGATTGTCTTCTACGCTTCACGATCCAAGGTACATTTTTGCTACTCTTTTGGACCCTCGTTACAAGGCCTCATTATTCACAGAAGAGGAGGCTGAACAGTATAAACAGGACTTAATCAGGGAGCTAGAAATATTAAGTGCTACCTCAGATGATGAGAAACCTGTTTCCAATGGGTGTGGTATGGGTTCACCATCTAAAAACTCTTATGTGGACAGTAGTCTTTGGTCACTTATGGAAGACATGAAAAAAGCAAAAGTTCCAAAAGAGAAGGCTAAATTGCCAGAAGAAATGGTGCTTTTGTACTTGGAGGAGGAAGTGCTTGAGCATAACTGTGATCCTCTGACATACTGGAATTTTAAGAAGTCATCTTGGCCAATACTGTCGAAGTTGGCTGTCCGATTCCTAGGTTGTCCTCCAAGCATTGTTCCATCAGAAAGATTGTTCAGTACATCCAATGAAAACAGCAGCTTTAGCCAGTCAAGGCTAGCAATGGAACACTTTGAAAAACTTATTTTTTTGAAAGTAAATCTTCCTTTGATATACTTCCAGTATTGAAACTAATGAACAAGCTGCCAGTCTAAAATTATTGTTGCTCACTGGATAATTACTGTATTTGTAACTTGGTTTGTTAAATTGCTCCAATAGGGGCCATGTATGACATCTAATCAGTGACAGTAGTTCCCTTTTATAGTTTTATTTTTCATCTTTCTATATGTCTACATGTGCCTTATTAATTGTCCTTCAGGCCAGATACTGTACATATGTGTTTTTTAAAACTTCTTACTAGAATTAGCTTGTCTTTGTCCCTATTACACAAAATTACGTAGGTTTTAACAGAATTGTAAATGAAGTTTTAAAACAGTTGTTTGAATAGAAAGGCAAACAAAGATGTAAACAGTTCTATTATGTAGTTTTTTATTCAATTATGTAAAAACCATAAACCAGGTACTGTATATTAGTTAAATATTGCTTTAATTACAATGGAAAAAAACCACATTTTCTAGCTGTCAGAAGAAAGCTGTACATAAAAGGTGGAGTTGAAGCCATCTTTTTACATAGCAGGTTTTAAATACAGGTCTAATGTACTTAAAGGGTTATGAGAATATTCAAGGATGGTGTATGTACTAAAGGTGGCTATTGAGTTAGTATTGGAATAAACTAAAGTTAGAGGTATTATGGAAGATCAGTTATCAGTAACCTATAATCTTGCCATTCGGTGGTTGCTCTTCAGGTTTTTTACACTGTAACTGAATTAGAGCTTGAGTATTTATAAGGTTTGGGGGGGAGTTTATTTTCAGTTTTGTTTCCAGTTGTTTATTTAATACAGTGTATTTGAAAGAAATACAAGGAGTCAGCATTATGCTATGTTCTTTTAAAACAGAGTGCATCCAGACATCCAGTACTACTCCATGGTGTAAAAACGGAAGTCCTGGTTTTCCTTGGAATGGAAAATTATGTGTGATGTCCTCTGTTTAAAGTTCCTGTTTTAAAAAGCAGACAGTCCGATTCTCATCAAATATCCCTTCTAGAACAGTCCCCTGCTTAGAATGTGATTTGCTAGAATTGACCTATAATTGACACTGTTGATCAGGCAAATAAAATATTGTAGAACCCTCTAAGTCTCAAACTGAGGTTTTAAGAATAGCCAGCATTTTAATTGTAAGCAGTATGCTCTGTGTTTTGTTTTGTTTTTAATATTCGAGGTTCCTCTTCCCGTTTCTGTGCATTGATGAAATTCTTCGGGGAAATGGGAGTTGCCTATGACCTTTAGGAAAGATGTAGTTTTGTTAAAATACTGTACCTCTGCCTAATTTTTTTTTTGCATTTACTATGTTTTAGTGTATTTATAAATGGTGAACTGAGTTTCTGAAATTAAACATTTTATTTGCCATTTTTAGTTCTAGTTGTGATCTCATGGGTCCCCCCCCCCTTGGACAGTAGTGGGGATTACCCGTTGGAAAAAGGGGTTTTCAGCAGTATGCAGAAAATAACTATCTTGGGGTTACATGGAAGAAGGCTTTGATTTCGGTCTTTCAAGATTGTCTCTACAGTCTTATATTCAAAACTTCCTTACTGTTTTAATATTACCTTTAGTTCCAGTGGGATTCAGTTTCTCAAACTACTATGCAGTTTTGCAGACAATGATGTGTAAGTTCTTGCATTGCTAAGCATATAAAGGTCATGATAAAATGGATCATTATGAAATTATGCATTATAGCATAAATGGCTGCATTTTCAAAACATTTTGCCATGTTAACTTTCATTCTGTTAAATTCTAAATACCTTATAGAAATATTAGTTTGCATTTAAAGTAAAACTGTGACTGCTTTCATTTAGAACCTGACAGAAAATAAGTCATCTTTCAGGTGTCAAACCCTCAGATCTTGGGAAAGGGGGGGGGGACTGATCACATTCTGAAAAGCTACTTATAGGCAGGCTTAAGGGGTTCCACATTCCTAAGTTTTTGATTGAAACAGCAGAATCTGCACATCAGATATAGCTTTGCAAATCTTACTCCAGTGTAACCAATCCCCATCCCTCCTCATGATAGGGCATAGGAGTCTGTTGTTCAGGAAAGAATCCCAAAGCCCTTTAAGCACGCTCATTGCATGGGGGTTGTTTTTTGTATTTGGTTGGGTGATATAAATGCCCATTGGGGGGGACCGGCGAGTGAGGCACGACATCAGCAGCAAGGAGGCCAAGGGAGATGTGGGAGGAAGGGTGCCTCAAGTAGGGGAAAGGGCTATTCATAGTGGGAGGGGCACTAAGGGTCTAATGGTGGCGGTCAGGACTAAGCATTAAAAGCACTGTATCAGTCACTGAATGTCGTGAAAGTGGCCTAATAGGAGCCTGTGAGGGCCAACACAGCAGGTCCCTAGTCTGAGGCCACAGCAAGGCATGATACATGGGTTTTTGCTTATAAGAGCTCATATTCCATAAATTACTGGTGTTAGCTAAATGATACCCATTAGAGTGCAAAAGCCTTTTAGCCTACCCTGCAGAGTCAGTCAGTGTAGAATAGATTTTATTAGCACAGGCCAAGGATGAGTCAAGAGGGTGTGGCTACAAGGTTATCCTAGTTAGTCACTGTCCATCTTCCCACCTTGAGTAATCAATCTTATGCCTCACAGGTATATGTACTGGAGAAGGACTATGGGTTTGAGTTCGTTCTTTATATTCCATAAACTCCAGCCTGTATTTGGGAACTGTGGATATGTCCTGTTGCCCAAGATGCCTCACATCTTCTCGCCAATTTGAGGCCAGTTGCTGTTATAAAGTGGGAGTTCCAGTACTGTTCCACTGCACATCTGAGCTCTGCTCAGATTTACTTCATAGCGATCATATCAAGTCTACCTTCAGAAGCTAATTTCATTTAAAAAAAACAACACACACACTGGCCTGAATTTTGAATTGTGCTAGTTCTGTTTTTCCTTCACCCTCCTGAAATCAGTGATAGTAGGGAATAGTGATTTGTAGCAACAGTGATTAATATGTGATCAGGATGTATATTAGTGCTCTCTTACTAGCATGCAGAAGACACTTAGATCTCCCTAATGTGAGTAGAGATTTGCATTACAGCTGAAACTTGGAACACACATAGTTAAACATCAGACTTAAGTCTCAAAACTGGATGTCTTCATACTTTTTCTTAATTTGGGACACAAGTGGTATCTTATAAGCCACTCTATACAAATCAAACTAGGCATAGGTACCAGAATGCAGGGCTATAGAGAGTTCCCTCATGCTTTTAGCATCAGATCAAGAAGAGGGATTTTCAGTGGCTGCTGTTAATGCAGGGGAAAATAGGGGAAAGATGCATGCATGCTCTCCCCCCCCCCCCCCCCGTCCAGTACTCTGCTTGGGACAGGTTTGTACTGTCTAACATGAGCCATATTCACAAGCACTGACGTAAATAGTCAGTTTATGGGGACAGGTGGTATCTTATCGAGACTTTATCTTATTGGCTCAGTGTCCTGTTTGGGACTCTGCCTAGTTTGAGAGTGTGTATCTTGTGGTGGGAATGTGAGACAGGATTTGGATTTTGTTGGTGTATCACCCACCCTGCTGCCCAACAGTCTTCCTGCCTGAAATTGTGGAGGTGGTCTTGGATGTTGTGTGGAGGACTCCTAGGACTCTGACAACCATGCTGAGGCTACTGTGTCAGGAGCAACTCAAGATTTCATGGTCCGTATGACAACCATGGACCTGTTTCAGGTAATAGCAGGCCCCACTATCTGTGCAGGTCATACTCTTGATATGGCATTCTGTTCTGGTCAGGAGGAAGGTGATCTGAAGGTGGGAGGATTGAAGAGGATCACTCCTTGCTGGTGTTTAGACTTAAAAGGGTACCAAGACTGCAGGGATGAGGGATTAAGATGACTTTGCCTTCGCTGCCTGGTTTTCAGACAGCATTAGGGAATTTTCCTGCTGTTATGTTTGATGCTGTTGTCAGTGCCCTGGTTGACTTCTGGAATGGGGAAATGGCCCAGACAAAAGACCCAATTGCACCTTGGCACCCTCTCTTAGGTCTAGGAGCTACGGTGGCTCAAGTGGTTAAGACTGCAGGCTGTGGAAGGTCAGTAGTTCAGCAGTTCGAGACCCAGGTGCCGCATGATGGAGTGAGCTCCCATCTCTAGTTCCAGCTCCTGCCAACCTAGCAGTTCGAAAGCAAGAAATTGCAAGTAGATAAATAGGTACCACTTCGGTGGGAAGGTAACAGCGTTCCGTGTTTAGTCATGCCGGCCACATGACCACGGAAACGTCTTCAGACAGTGCTGGCTCTTCGGCTTTGAAACGGAGATGAGCACCGCAACCCTAGAGTCGGACTCGACTGGCTTTCGAGCAAGGGAACCTTTACCTTTGACCCTCTCTTAGGTCTAGGAGCCCAGGCAGCCCCTTGGTTTCCTGAGGGGCTGTTGATGATTAAAAGACAAGGGAAACGACTAGAGCCACAGCAGAGAAGGATTGCTTTTCAGCCCACTTTTATCATTGCTTGTCCCCCATGCTTTTCTATGTCTGTTTAAAAATATTGGGAGAGGTCATCCGGATATTTTTCTGAGTTGTCATCAATATGCAGATGGCACTCAGCTCTTATCTCATGCTTACCAGCACATCCCAGGGAGGCTTTGGAAACTATGAACTGGTGCCTGGAGGTAGTTTTGGATTGGATGAAGACTAACAAGGTGAAACTTAATCACAACCAAACAGAAGTGCTACTGGAGGGGGAAAGGTCTGACCCAGGAAATGGGTTGTCTCCTGTTTTGGATGAGGTTACACAGCAGATTCACAGCTTGGGAGTGCTCCTGGACCCAGGCCTCATTAGATAAACAGGAGGCAGTGGTGGCCAGTAGTGCCTTTCATTACCTTTGGTTGGTGAGCCAGCTGTGGCCCTTCCTGGGCAGGAAGGATCATGCCACCGTGGTACATGCCCTAGTAACATTCAGATTACTGCAATGTGCTATATGTGGGGCTGCCTTTGAAGACTGTCCAGAAGTTACAGCTGCAGACCGTGTTGACTGGAATGGATCATAGGGACCATATCACTCACACTGACCTTTAAAGTTCTGTATGGTTTAGGACCAACATATCTTAAGGACCACCTCCCTTATGAACCTACCTGTTTACTCTGGTCATCTTCAGCAGTCCTGCTTCAGTTGCTCCTGCCATGTGAGGCTAAACTGGTGGCAACCTGAAAAGGGTCTTTTTCAGTTGTGGTACCAAAACTTTGGAACTCCCTCCCCAGAATATTTGTCTCCCTCTCGCTGTCTTCCACCAGTTAGGGTAAAGACCTTTTTGTTTC